TAGGAAATTGAGTGTAGAATCTAAAAAACTGGTTTTTGTTTTAGTAGAGTCATTGCGCGGTGCCGAAACACGACAAAATTGACAATTTTGTCCCCTATAAAATCGAAAAATTGCTAAAAATTTGCATTAAATTTGAATTTTTTTCAATTTTTCTGGCATCAACAGATAGATCTTTTTGAGATCTTTCATTTAAAAAAAGGTTCAACTCAATCCGATTTTTCGCTCAAAAGTTATAGGCAGTTGAAGGTTTTGTCTTTGACCCCCCGCCCCCCCTCTCTGGGGGGGCCTAGGTCAAAATGACCGCCATATTTGAACGTCTCGCATGCTACTGTATCACTCCTGAAAAGATGGATCATATTTGATAGGGGGCCAAATCTAATGGGGGATGGAACAACCTCTTTCCACAAAGTGTTTTGATTTTTTTTCCAGGAGTGTTTTTTTATTTTTCAATGATGTCTCTTTTTCTAGAAGTAGGTGGTTATCATTATTAGTTTCTTATTCTTTGTTTTTGAATTTAAAGTTTTGCCTCCAGGAAGTCCACTAATTACTGGTAGTCCAACATTCACTCGCGGAGCGAGTGACTGGGGGTCCAGGGGGCGAAGCCACCGGCTAGCGGCGCAAGCGAGCGTAGCGAGCTGACAGCTGAAGCAGCTAGTAATTTCTTAGTTACCTTAACAATAGTACCATTCAGAAAATTAATGAGGAATTTCTTTGCTTAATATTTTGAACAATTTTTATTAGTATTTTACTACCTCTGCACCCAGCACTAGTTGGTAACCCAGTGTCGTTTTCTAAATGTGTTGATTACCTGCATTTCAGAATGGATTAGCACCGTTGCATATGGCAGCCCAAGGAGATCACATAGATGCTGCACGACTGCTGTTGTACCACAAAGCAGCTGTTGATGAGGTCACAGTAGACTACTTGACTGCCCTTCATGTTGCAGCCCATTGTGGTCATGTCCGGGTAGCCAAACTTCTGCTTGATCGGAAGGCCGATCCAAATGCTAGAGCTCTAAATGGATTCACCCCTTTGCATATTGCTTGCAAGAAAAACCGAATCAAAGTGGTGGAGCTTTTGTTGAAATACAATGGATCAAAAGAAGCAACCACAGAGGTAAGATTTTAAATGCAGTCAAAAAAAGTTAAATGTACTGGTTGTACTTCAAATTAGACTCCATCGTTTGCAAAATCTTTCAGATGATTTTGTATGCTCCTAAGAGAGTTAGTGTGCTTGTGCACATATGCATCTATACACTCGTATGACAACACTAGTGAGGCAACTTAGTCCAGGCAACCTAGCAGGAAATTGGACCTTAGATGGAAAAGAATTGGAAGCAAATTCCAACTAAAGGGCGTTAATGTACCCCAGTAGGAGTGTAGTTTCTGAAAATTCCCCAACTTTCCGATGTGCGGAAAGCCCTGAAAAATTAGGAAACTCCCTGAAAATTTGCCAATCTTCAAACGCACATAACTTGGCATCGAAATACCAAATTACTATATTTGTCAAATTTACGGAAAACCGAAAATTTTTTTTTTTCTAAAAATCTTTAAAGCTGATTTCAGGTCCCAAGTCGGTAGAAATCGGAAAAAATGCCTTCTGCTAAAGTTGTAAAATATTGTTTGAGCTTTAAAACGGTATATTGACGAAATTTGTATGATAATTTGTTGCCAAATTAAGCGCAAAAAACCCGGGATTTTTTTTCCGCGCGAGAGCGGCAGATCTTTGCGACTCAACGCGTAGTTACTTGTTAAAATCTAAAATTTCTCCAGGATCCTACTTTTAACATATAATTATGAACTTGGGAGTATCTACTTGTTTAATAAAAGTTTGAGAACATCCCCTCTCCTTCCACTCCTATCCCTTGTTGCCATAATTATAAAAATGTTATCTCTATTGTGTTAGTTAGAGAGAAATGCGGTTTGACCGGGAACAAATTGCATAACAAACTTTTCCTATGTAAACGTCATCAGTAGATCCTCCTGAACAACATACTAAAAGTTTACCATGGTCCAAGCCCGGAGCACCCCCCCAAAATGCCTAAAATCAAAATGGCGGCCATAATAAGGCCGTATGAGATTTCGGTATTTTAAAGTGTTCCTATAGTGTCATGTGAGGTATCTTTTCCTATGTAATTTTGGTCGCAGATTTCATGTATGAAGTCAAAAAGGCCCCGGGGTCCAAAGGGGTGCCTCAAATCCAAGGTGGCGACTAAATTTGAAAGGCAAGGGAGGTCATTTTTTAACTTTTACGTGATTGGGCAAGTGAGGTATCATTTCCTACATAATATTGGTCGTGGATTTCATTAATGACGTCAAAACAGCTCCTCGGTCAAAGGGGGTGCTCTGAATCCAAGAGGGTGGCTAAATTTAAGAGGCAGGAGGGGTGCATTTTTTAGATTTGTACGTGAAAAGACAGGTGTGGTGCAACAATTCCTGGATAATGAGAGCTTATTAGCCTGTTTCTAATTCTTGCATTTTCAGAAACTACATTGTCTCCTGATCACGCAGTAATTTTTCAGATTTTTCCGAGCCGTTTTTCCATCCGAAAACGACTTTTGAAGTTCGAAATTTCAAAATGCCGCGTTTGCCCGCGCTTTAGCGGCAATTCAGTAGCGCCGGAACTACCCCCTGGCTTCTTGCCACACATTCGACCGGGCGCCGTCAGCGGGACCTCTACGCGTTCGAATATCGAGGCTAATCAAAACAACCAACCAAGGCTGTTATCAATTTCACCCCTTGACAAACATTTCTCTAGTTTTTGGCATATTTTCTGAACTGTTATTCGTTCAACTAAAATATCTTATCCTGCTTTACAAATATCTCGACCTGCAATCTCCTTGAAACGTTGGAAAACCCGGAAATAGCTTCCAAAACTGTGTTAGTTATACAGGGTTATCCAAAAATCACCTACCACCCCTGTAACTTTTTTCCTAATTGAGATAGAAGTTTGAAACTTTGGGAATGTTCCTCGGTTTAAGGTAGCAACTTTTTTTGGGCGGGGGCTAACTTTTTTTCAAATGGCAACCCCCCTTTTGTGATACTTCATTCGAAAGATAGTAAAAAAAGAAAACTTTTGGCGCAAACCGCAGGTCAAAATGTTGATTTTCGACAAAATGGCGGCCGGTCAAAGTTCAAAATGGCGGAAATTTGGCATTTCCGTCTTTTACCGGCAGGTTGGTCTGAAACTAAGTATCCTAAGGTTTTTCGGGACGAGAAAAACGATTCTGGCATTAGTTTTCCAGAAATGTCAGTACTTTTAAAAATGGCGGCGGTTGAAATGGCGGCTTAGTGCGGGAAGTGGATATTTAGGCTGCTTATCGTCGGATTTGTATGAGACTTGGTAGCCGGGGGTAATTCGGCACGAGAAGACGAATCTTTCATTGGATTTGTAAATTTTTTTAAAAACTTTAAAATGGTGGCGAAAAAATGACGGTAAATCCATATCACGGCTGTTTACCGATGGATGTGCACAATAGTCAATACTCTCGTGGTTTTTGACTCGAAGAAAATTAATCTTTCATTAGATTTTTGAAACACTGAATATCGTCAAAATGGTGGTGGAAAAATAACGGAAAATCCGCATCCACCATCGCCATTCCCATTTTTACCGCCATTTTAAAGTTTTTAAAAGTTTCAAAAATCCAATGAAAGATTCGTTCTTCTCGTGCCGAAATACCCCCGGCTACCAAGTCTCATACAAATCCGACGATAAGCAGCCTAAATATCCACTTCCCGCTCTAAGCCGCCATTTTAACCGCCGCCGTTTTTAAAAGTACTGACATTTCTGGAAAACTAATGCCAGAAATGTTTTTCTCGTCCCGAGAAACCTGAGGATACTTAGTTTCAGACCAACCTGCCGATAAAAAACGGAAATGCCAAATTTCCGCCATTTTGAACTTTGACCGGCCGCCATTTTGTCAAAAATCAACATTTTGACCTGCGGTTTGCGCCAAAAGTTTTTTTGTTAGGTACTATCTTTCGAATGAGGTATCACAAAAGGGGGGTTGCCATTTGAAAAAAAGTTAGCCCCCGCCCCCCTTATGGGGGGCCGCCACCCAAAATTTTGGGGGGATCAAAAAGTTGCTACCTTAAACCGAGGAACATTCCCAAAGTTTCAAACTTCTATCTCAATTAGGAAAAAAGTTACAGGGGTGGTAGGTGACTTTTGGATAACCCCGTATGTGTGTGTCCCTATCACCTAAGTATCTAAAGGCTTGTTTTTCAGTTGAAATCGCCGTGTTTTCGGTGTTAGGGTTAACATTGCACACGATTTTTACAGTGTTCGTGTTAGTCAAAATATACATATAGGTAAGTGTTCTTCTAATGATTCATTTTCTGCGGTCATACATAGATTCTTGCATTTGCAACTATTGGGTATTCAAACAATCTTCACATTGGACGGGCATTATGCTGCTAGAACATCTGATACCAAGCATTTACTCTACGATTATTCCTCCTTTCTTGAGTGTTAAAGTCAGTAATCTGTATATTTGCTCATTACTTCTACTTGTATATCCACATAGTCTTTCCTATGCTGTTTTGAATACTTCCTCATGACCAACTCCCTTTGAAGTCTGATAGTGTAGTAAATTATGCTTCAGTTATCTGAGCATTTATTTACTAAAAAATCAGTTCGAAGGAATTTTCTTCGACATGGATCTCCACTCTACCCTGGAACTGTGTGTGCCGGCACCAACAGACCCTTCGGCAAAAGCTGTTAAATCCTGAAATTGAAAGGTACGTACCAATAATGTTCAAACTAGAACGGAAAAAAATTTGCTCCAACATGCTCATGACTTGTTTTGAATTCTTTGGAACATACATATGTGGTTTTCTCATAAAAAATGTTTGTGGTGAGCAATGAATGTAATATCCAGTATTTGAAAATCACTAAAATTGTAGCAAGTGTTAATTCGAAGGCACACCAAGATATTCTCTTATCACTGGAATGACATGGAAACCTGAGGTCTCCATTTCACAGCAGAAATGTCTAGGTACTGATCAAAATATAAGTCGAAGAAAATTTGCCTAGATTTTCCTTCAGTACACCCATGGAAACCCTTAAAATCAATTATGCAGATGGATGCGCTAGACTCCAGCCAACAAATTCATGTGATTGTAATATTTTGAAGTGGATGCCTCCAGTTGGTAGATTTTCTCACCTCATTTTACTGTCACCATTATCTTTTTTTTGTCTCAGTCTTTAAACTCAGTTGCTTTTAGTGATAATTCAATGATGAAGAGCCTTATTTATTTCATTTCAATAAATAATTTGCAAGAAAGAGGGAAGAACAACTACGAGGATCGTCCAGAGATGAGTTTACCAGTTCAATATCTCCTAAACTGAGATAGGTACTTCGAGAAAATCTGTAATAAACTTTAAAAAAGCCTCCACTCTGGGCTCTCTAACGCGTCATAGATTTTTAAATTTGGCTTGATAGAACTCCAGAAAAGTGGGTTTTTCTGAATCCACCTCCTCTCAGCACAGGTCCAAAATTTTACAGAACCTCATTCGCAAATGAGCCACCGTGTCTATCGCTCATGGCAAAAAAGTGGCTGAGGGGTGATTGAAACATGTGTAAAACATTAGTAAGGACATTTTCCCGTATTTTGAAGTAAACACGGCTAACCCTACTAATTCCTTGTTGGAAAATGTCCTTACTTATGTTTTACATGTATTTCAACCACCTTTAAGCCACTTTCTTGCCATGAGCGATAGACAGGACGGCTCACTTGCGAGTGAAGCTCCGTAAAATTTTGAACCCGTGCGGAGAGGAGGTGGGTTCGAGAAAATCCCATTTTTCTAGAGTTCTATCAAGCCAAATTTAAAAATCTACAGCGTATTAGAGAACCAGGGTAGTGACTTTTCAAAGCTTATAACAGATTTTCTCTACCTATCCTCGTTTAGGAAATATTAAACAGGTAAACTTACTTTCCGGACGACTCTTATTATCCGCCATTAGAAACCATATAGGTAATCGAAATTGAGAAAGGAACTTGCAAAGTAGTTAGCTACTCACCTTTCATCTTCAGGATTTTTAATTACATCCATTTATTCAGAGTCAAGGCATGCATCTTAACAAAATTTGTGTGAAGTTCCATGTCGAAGAATGT